GGGGGGGGGGGGGGGGGGGGGGGGGGGGGGGAGGGGAAGGAGGGGAAACTTTACCAATATTTTTGAGCGAAAACATTTCAGAATATCTCGTCTACTCGCTGAGCCACAACTCAGCGTTCATCACTGCTGTGAAGGTCTGCACATAATTATGTCCTCATTAGCAACGATGAAATGGAAGAGGCGAAGCGTAAAATAAAAGGATGCGAAGTTATGCGTTTTTATGATAAGCTTTTGCAGTATAAAACGAATTAATGAACAAGTTGTCACAAAATTTCTCTTTTGCCCTGTTACGGTGCTTTTCGAATTACTCATCATAAGAAAAGCATTTTGTTACAAAACCATAATCAAACTCTTATTTAAATGTGCGATCACAAGTCAGGAAGCAAAAGGAATTAGGATGCTTTGCAGCAGCTGATACTTACTACACCTTCAGAATTTCTGCTGTATAAGTCGAACGAAGCAACGAGTTTTTCGCATAAAACATCTAAAAATGAGTAAAATGAGACTAGCCTTGGGGCATCATACCAGGGGCATCTTAGCATAGGTTCGGATAACATAGGAACTGTTATAAAATGGGACTGATTCACTTGTAGTTGCAATTCTATTGGAGCATGGAGCATACATTTATGAAGCGCTGTCATCTTTATTAGAGACGACGACACAACATAAGCACCCATTACGTAAACCTGAAATCGCCGCAGTATAATAGATAGCACCAGGATAAGTGAAAAAACAGCTCCGTACATCAGTTAATCGAGTTGTGCATGAATTTTTACGTTGCTTCAAATCCCGTATGGAAATAGAAAATTTCAACTAGGTTCTTAGGTTGAGTGGTTGTAAACACCTTCGTCATTTCTGTCTGAAACAAAATTTGAGAAGTGAGTTTATTAAAGATGTGCTTTTATGTTTTTGGGGCCCAATACAGACACGAAAGAAGACTATCTCTTCAAGATATGTATATACTCAAGTTAGTCTCACTTCTGTTTGTTTTTGTTACATTGCTGCGCAATCGATGAAAGGTAGCTTTCGCAGCTTCATTCTTTAATTTTTGCTCCAACGCTAGAACCAACATGGTGTAGTGGACCTTTTCGCATAAATGACGGTGCGACTTTCGACCGCTGAGCGGATTTGCAATTTTGAAAAACTAATCGAAATTACTGATTGAGCCACTGGAGCACCAACCTCATCTATATCCTTGTCAAACGTCAAGGTCTATCGAAATTATAAGGAATATCAACTTCACAATTGTAATTATGAGTAAGCGATTGAAAAGGATCGTTTACCAAATAATGAAACATCCTTTTGAAATTTCAGCTTATTACTTTAACTGATTTACGAGTTGGTAAAAACATCAGCAGTTTTTCTGTCCGAGCCCTTACGTCTTTGTCTGCTAAAAATAAATGGTTGTGAAAGCTAACACAGATGTCTGAAAATGGATATATGACAACTTCACCATATACAGAAAATTTTTACTTCTTTTTAACTCTAGAGAAAAAAGAATGCCAACATCCATTTATTTTCAATTTTCATGTGTCTGTTATTAGCCCGTAAGCCTATGTGGAAACTGATTTCATTTTTCACTTGAAAGTTGATTTCATTGTTCTCATACATCTCGAAGGCGAAGAAGATTTTGACTTTCGACTTTGACAATTTAATCATTTTTTCTGAAAAATTCTTACCGAATCACTGTATGTTGGCGAGGGTGCTTTTGTTGTTTCAGAACCTACAGTGCTTGCCACAGGCGCAGCAGACGAAGCAGGCCGGCCTGTTGAGGGCGCTTTGGAGGATAACGGTTGGTT